AGGCTGCATTCCTGTGCTTTCTTAGAAAGTATGCTGGAGATTACATTGGTATTTCACTGGACTGGGGACAGGAAAAGGAAACTGCTTTTCAGAGTCACTCTTCATGCATGCTTTATATTTCTAGGAAACATCCCATTCAAGTTTCAGAAATAACAAAAGAAACTTCTTTTCCTTGTGTTTACTTATTGCAACAATTTTTTTGGGGAACTGGTAGGCTAGGTTTTTCTTGCTATGGGGTTTCTAGACATAAAATTGCATCTCAGCTAAACTTGTCCCAATGAGGCTGGTATGAGAAAAAGAAACATTTACGGAGTGTATTTTCCTAGTAAGTTCAGCTTACTCTCTATAGATTTGAGACTTTAGAACAGACCGTATGAATCAGATAGCAAGAATAAACATTTAGATCAGAGTAATACAGAATTGAATGGCAACAGATACTTTCCTTATTCCAAAGTGGCCATCCTGGTACTCATTTTTCTGACCTCGGAAGGATAGAAGGCTGAATCAACCTTGAGCTGGCTACCTGGGATTGAACCCCAGGTCATGAGCACAGTTTTGGCTGCAGTACAGGGGTTTAACCACCACAAGGCAAGGCTCTTTTGTGCCCTTTTTGCAAACATGTTTTATCATATTCTGTATAAATGCCAATAGCTATGGAAATAATTAAAAAGAATTATTATGAAGAAAGAGCCCTGCTAGTCGAAGTCTGGTTTAACCACTGCACCACAAGGCTCTTTTGTGCCCTTTTTGCAAACATGTTTTATCATATTCTGTATAAATGCCAATAGCTATGGAAATAATTAAAAAGAATTATTATGAAGAAAGAGCCCTGCTAGATCAATCGAAGTCTGATTTAGACTGGTATTCTCTTCCCAGTGTGTGGCCAACCAGTGTATGAAAAGCCTACAAGCAAAAGCAGTCTGGAAAAGCATAGCTAAAAATGAGCCTCGTGGCGCAGTGGTTAAAACGCTGTACTGCAGCTAAAACTGCTCACGACCTGGGGTTCAAATCCCAGGTAGCCGGCTCAAGGTTGACTCAGCCTTCTATCCTTCCGAGGTCGGTAAAATGAATACCCAGCTTGCTGGGGGGGCAATGTGTAGCCTGTATAATTAAAATTGTAAACCGCCCGGAGAGTGCTTGTAGCGCTATGGGGCGGTATATAAGTCCAATAAATAAATAAATAAAGCTTCTGGTCCATGCTTAGTTTCAAATATTTATAACTGTATGCTAATCTGAATTAAAGTGGACCATAGAATCAATGTAGTTGCTAAGTCAACATGTACGTGTTTTCTAGTGGCTGAAATCCTATTGCTTAGCATAGTAACTTGCAACTAGAGTTAGCACAGTAAGTCACAGTTTACAGAGGAACTGACTGGATAAAACCCTACTGATTCAATGAGCCTACATAAATTGCTACTACACTAAGTAATATGATTTCAGTCATTGATTCAGGGACTATTCTGGTGGGCTAACAATTAAATTTAGCCTGCCTTTAACCTTTCAAAGAGAATATTTTTTAAAGGTCACTTTCATTTATACCTTTTTTAGCTTGCAGCCAAAACATCTCCTCACCAGTTATTAGTTTAAGTGTTTAGTTTCAGTGCTCATGAATTTACACTATTTTGAAACCTCATCTCATAATTTGTTGCTCATTTGTATAGTTTCAGAGGTTCCTTTTAATCTATATAGCGTGTACTGTCTTACTGCTTTCTATTAATATGTATAGGGAGAATCTCTTCCATCCAAATGAACATCCCATGAATATTTTGTTATTTATTCCATATAATTCGAATAGAATTATCAGAGGGAATTATTTTTAAATGGAAACAATTAATTGTGATATTAATGCACAGAGAAAAGAGAACAAGGATATTAAATATAAGAAAACATAAGAGAAATAAAGAAGGTGGATTAGGAATTCCAAATCTTTATTATTATGTAGCCTGTCAAATCAGGCAGTTAGACTGTACAAGGAATTTACATAGTTACCACTTGCATTACCAAGGGGAGCCTTGGAAAAGCTCTCTGGAGTTCTTTTTTCTTTTTAGAAATAAGAAATATCCAACATGCATGGGAAATTGCTTTTCAAAACTACTTATAATAACTGGGATGAATGAAATATGAAATGATTACCATCTAGCTCAGTGGTCCTCAAAATTTTTGACATCAAAAAGCAAAGCGTGCTGCTTATATACCACCCCATAGAGCTTCAAGCACTCTCTGGGCAGTTTACAAGTTAATTATACAGGCTACACATTGCTCCCTCTCCCCCCCCAAGCGAGCTGGGTACTCATTTTACTGACATAAGAAGGATAGAAGGCTGAGTCAACCTTGAGTTGGATACCTGGGATTGAACCCCAGGTTGTGAGCACAGTTTTGGCCATAGTACAGCAGTATAACCACTGCGCAAAGAGGCTC